AGTATTTGGGGTCTGGTTTCTGCGTCAAACAGTCTGACCATCCGGTTCAAATGGATGACTCATTCTGACAAAAAATAAAAAAATACAAAAAATGGCCAAAAATCATTCCTGGGTCAAATGATTAGACAGTTCGATTACCTCAATCAACGATTCGTTGACTAAATCAACAATTTTTTATCAAAAATGGTTTTGAGATAAAACAAAACTGATCAGATGATCGGATTTTCAATTTTTTCAATGCAATCTAGTTTTGAAAACATTACTTCAAATTATGATATCCGAAAAGCTTATAATCAATCAAGTAATATTCATCAAAATTCATAAATTCATTAGGATATTTTGTTGGGATGAATGTGTGGATGGTTGGTGCCCTACATTTGGGCCTGTAATTGGATCAAATTTCAATCCAAATCATTTAAACCTGAGTTCGGACCGATCAAGAATTAATGGCATCCAAACTTGACCAGAAGAAATATGATAGGATGTATGAACAATGCATCTGATTTCGATTCTGATCCAATTTTTTGAATTTCAGATTTCATTTGACTCTACTCAACTTATTCTAAGACCGATATAAGCTGTCTTGCTGAAAGCCAAATTTTGTATTAAATACATTAAGGCTGCGTTTGGAATAGGTGTATATGCCAGTTTGGTGTAGCTTTACATCGTGGTCCACTTTTGTATGCATTTGGTTGGGATGTAAAAAAACACGGAAGGCCGGTGTAAAACTTTATTTTGAAATATGTTTACATCGATAATCAATGTATAAAATGCATCTATTTTTTCCATGTAAAACTTAATCGAACCGCTCTTCTGTGTAAAAAATGACTCATTCTCCTGCTCTGTCACCATTGAGATTCTTTTGCCGACATCCTCCACCGTCAAGTTTCCTGTTTCTATCGTCATTTCCGACTCACTCTTCTCTCTTCCACTTCCTCCCTCTCTCTCTCTTATCTCTTCCACTCCTTCACGTTTACTCAAAAGACCTATGGGCCCAAGCATAGGATCGCGTCACGGGTTGTTCTATCGCAGAAACCCCTGATCTTCCCTTGCCTTTGGTTTTGTGCACAGACCCTATTTTGACTATCTAGTGGGTGATTTGTCCAAGAAACCACCCGAACTCTCCTCACTCTTTTCTTGACTGGAAAACTGAATGCTTTATTTCAATTCGTAGCTCCTTAAATAGGAGACTACAGAAGAGAATTCCTTGTTGGATTCGGCTAGGCTAGGGTAATCCAACTCAAACTAAAACTCCTAATTTCCTACTTAAACTAAAACTCATAACTCTTATTTAAGAAGATAAGATAAGATAAGGGATAAGGAATAAGATAGGGATAAGGGATGAGGGATAAGATTAAGCTGGCGACGAGTTGACGTGTCCAGATAAGGGTGGGCCCACCCCTATGAGCTGTCGTGTGGGCCCCGCTCTGCTGCTGCTGTCGGGTGTGTGCGCGCGGCTCATGGTGCCGCTGCCGCGCAGTGCGTGCGTGCGGCTCATGGTGTTGCTACCGTGCGGTGCCGGCGTGTGCGCGGTGCGTGCTGCCATGCAGTGCGTGCGGTGTGCACTACTGCCTGGCGGTGCGTGCTGCGCGCCATGTTGCCGCTGCCGTGCGGTGCCGGGCGTGTATGTGGGCGGTATGTGCTGCGCGCTGCCAATCTGCTGTGCGGCGCTGCCGGGTGGTGCGTGCTGCTGGACGGCCCGCTGTGTGTATTGCTGCCTATGACTGCGCCGCAGTGTACTGCCGGGTGGTGTGTCTATAACAAGAACCTCTCAAAAGAAAAAAGAGGGAAAGCAAAACCGTCGCTACCTCCACCTCTTCACGGATCCATTTCGAATTGAAACTTGAATGTTTTCCCTCCCGGAAAATAAAAAAGAAAAGAGAATTGACGATAAATAATAATAACATATTAGAGAGAGTATCAAATCGGTTTGGATTGGATTTTGACACTAAAAAGAGAAGTCAATTAAGCTTTTCTCCTTTTAGATAAAAGCTCATAAATCTTTCTTATTTTATTTGTCTTTCTTCATATTCTCTTCGCTATTATTGTCAAGAAAATAGAGAGCTAGCTCGAACCAACAAGAAGAAAAACACCTAAAAATGGATTCAAGGGGTACTAGAGTAAAGAAGGTTAAAAGAATTTCCAGCATTTTGATATGAATAAAGATGGAGGTCTCATTAGGCAAGAAATGGTGTATCTCGTCGTCGCCGAAAATCCTAGGGTTAAATGAGCAAATCAATGCTATCCTTGATGAGGTCTTCAGAGCCTACCGGGACTTCATCGATGGCGAAAATGGTCTCTCCTACAAAGATTAAAGTATCAGTATCGAGTATCGTATCGAACAACTTAAATATGGATACAGATACGGATACGCTTTAAAAACACATGGATAGGGACGAAACATGTGAACAACTTGGATACACTAGGAAAATACATGTAAATTTCATAAATACATTAATAACACTAAATTTATGGTCAAACAGCCATAAATAATGTATAAATATATAAGAAAGTGTACATAAAAATATATCATACAATGCATTAATTAAGAGTCCAAGATGTAATTATTATATCAATTATTTTCTATTTTATTATTTTTACATTTTAACATTAACAAAAAAGTTAATCAAATATTAAATTCTCAAATATAAATTAAATTATCATTTAATAATTTATAAAAATATATAATTTTAACTTAAAATATATAAAATTGGTTAAAATTTTTAAGATATATATCATATGCAAATTCATAATTTTATTTATTAAAATAATTGTTTCATTGTTAAAATTTTTATTTGTATATTTTTTTGTTGAAATTAAAAATCAAATTTCCATATAAATGTAGATTAATGGATTTGATAAATTCAATTTAATATTATATTTTTGAATATTTTGCAAACAAAGTTTTATTTTTGGTAAATAATAAATATGTTGTCATTTAATGTAAATTAAAATATTAATTAATAATTATAAAAATATATAAAATTTGTTAGATATATATCATGTGAAAATTTATAAATTTTAAGTAGTAAGATAATTATTCTACTATTAATATTTTATTTGTATAAATTTCTTGAGATTAAAATCATCTTTTGATATAAATACTTTTTTTGTACTTTTAATGTAAATATAGAATTAATAGATTATTTATTCTATTTGTTTATAAAATACTAATTTTAGAAATTATTTATTTTAATTTTTAATTGGAGTTGTTAAAAATAATATTGATTATTTATTGGAATAGGAAGTAATAAAATTTATTTCATTGAATATCGCAAATTATGGCATGGCCTAGTGGTTTGAGGGAGAGTTATAAGGCTTTTGGCCACTCTAGTGTCTTGGGTTCAAATCACTTTATTAGCGTGGAATTTGACATTTTTAATCGAAAACGCTGCCGTATCGGTTGGTATCGTTGCGTATCGGTACCAACCAGCACTTATCACATGAAGTTTACACCCATGTTAATTCCAAACGCATATAGAAATTACTTTAATGTTTTATATTGTTCTTCCCATGGTTTTTTTCCTTTTTCCCCAAAAACCGGATTTTCCCCCAAAATCATTGATTTTGGTCAGTAAATCGTTGAATCGGATGGTTAACCATTCAAATCGTTCGAACAATTTTAACCATTTTTTAATTTTTTAATTTTTTGTTTCAGAACGGTCAAGCATTCGATTCGAATGGTCGGACCATTTGACCTAGTAACTGGACCCCTAACCGGTTTGGTTGTGTGATCAACCCATCTCCCAATCTGCCCATTTAAATGGGTTGGGTTGGGTTGGGTTGTGGATAACCATTGGATTAACAAAATCAATGGGTTTTTCCGGATTGGATGGTCAGATCGGAAAAACCGGGAATCGATCAGGTGACCAGTTCCGTTTTTCCCAAAAATCGGATTTTCCCCCAAAACCGTTGATTTTGGTCAGCGAACTGTTGAACCAGGCAATTAACCTTTGAAACCGTTTGTACAATTTTGACCATTTTTTTATTTTTTTAATTATTTTTTTGTCAGAACGGTCCGAGCATTTGGTTCGAACGGTCGGACCATTTGACCAGGTAACCGGACCCCTGACCGATTCGGTTGTGTGACCAACCCATCACCCAATCTAACCATTTAAATGGGTTGGGTTGGGTTGGATTGTGATAACCATTGGATTAACCATTATAGACATAAGTATTAATTCCTTAGCCTTTTTTCTAATTTTCTTTATTTGAATTAAATAATTTATAATTAATGCATTAATAGAAAATTAATTATTGACTAAATTTAGTTTTTTCTTGAATCAATACACTTCACCAAACATAAATCCAAATCAATTTAACCCGAATCCGGACTAGGCATGCTTTCTTGGGTTGGGTTGTGGATAACCATTGGATTAACCCACCCAATTGCCACCCCTAGTAGCAGATATGTGAATGCTTAGATTGTTGAGTGGTTAATCAGAAAAAATAGGGTCAGAAATGAAGTCATACAAAAAAACCTAAAAATAGCTCAAATACTTGATAAAATGAGAGGAAGTAGACTAATATGGTTTGCTTATGTGCATACAAGACAACTACAAAACCTATTAGAAAAAATGTGATTTATTAGAAGTAGAAGGGCTTAAAAGAGATTGAGACAAACCAAAAAGGACTTCAATAGAAGTAATAAGAAATGAATGATTTAAGCACCCATAATTTAATGATTGGAATGTCACTAAATAGAATGGAACCATAAAACAAAATTCATGTAGCTAACTCCATATAGCTGAGATGCGGGCCAGGCCAAGCTTGAAGTGTTGGGCGTCCAGAACCAGGCTCAAGCTCAGAAGTTTCTAGGATACGACAGGCTGGGCTAGAAATGATCAACCTAGGTTGGGCTTTGGCTTAGATTGGGTGAAGGCTCTTAGGGTTGGACCTAACTAATTAACCCTAATCTTAGTCCATTCCATCGAAGTAGCTGAAAACCAACCATAAAATATTGTAGCTGAAAAAGCATCGAAAATATTATTTAGACTTCATGAGAGAATGATAAATACATTACAAGCCTTGAATTTCAATACCATATATACTCAATGTTCCAACTTATATGATCATTACAAATAATTAGTGTGGAAATAAGCAATTTATAGTTTATGTAATATAATTTGAGCACCATATTGGGGTTCAAGAGTAAGGCCTTTGTGAGGGGCATGACAATAAGAGGGCGAAAGCTCAAACTGAAAATGTTGCAGAATCATTGTCAGAGCCATCTTTGCTTCCAACAATGCAAAATTCTGCCCAATGCAAAGTCGAGGACCCCATCCAAATGGATAGAAGGAGACATGATTGTTTGTTGCATTTAAAACTCCTCCTGAAAACCTCTCTGGATTGAACTCTTGTGCATCCTCGCCCCAAAGTTCCTTGCTATGATGAAGGAAGACGACCGGCATTGAAAACAATACCCCAGATGGAAAAGAAATCTCCCGTAATCTTATCTTCTTGTTGGTGTATCGATTAAGCATGACCACTGGTGGGTACAGCCTGAGGACTTCATATAAAATCATGGTCACCTAGTTGCAGAAAATTTCACTAAGTTGTATTAGCATCTGAGGGGCCATTTGATAATAGTTGAAGTAGCTGAATTGAACTAAATGAATTGAATTGTATAATGGGTTGGCTGCTTAATTAATTTACCCCCTAAATATTTTATACGACCATTTATCTACATAGAAAATCAACATATAATTCAACCATTATCAAAATTGCTCGTCAATAGACTTGGGGTAGAGGTCAGGTAAAAAATGTTTATGCTAGGGTTGACCCATGGGATCAGATGCTTAATGGTTCAACCACTTGGGTCAGTTGGTGTTTGATCAGGCCATCAGCAAACGTTATATCTTGACCCTAAATGTTCATGTTAGGGTTGACGTCCCATGGGATCAGATGGTTAATAGTTCAACCACTTGGGTCACTTGGTCTTTGATCAAGTCAACATTTTTAGTTCGGGTCGCTAAATAGGGGCCCTAGCCTGCTTTTTTGCAGGTTGGGTTTGTGAGTTGAGTTGACTTTTTGCTAGGTTTACTCATCAACAAGATTCCCATAAAATTAAAAATATAAAGAAAATACTCACAATCTTTAGGTGGTTTAAGCCATCAAAGTCTGGTTTATTTCTTCCAAAGACTTGCAAGACTTCTTCCTTTGCTTTTAACTGCCATTCTGGATGTATGCTCAATACAATCATTGTCCATGTAAGCAAAACTGATGTTGTCTCCTGTCCTGCAAAGTAAAATAGCTTGCACTCTTCTATCACATCATCAATACTCATCCTAACATCCTTTGAAATGTCATGTTCTTGGTTGTATTTCAATAGCAAGCCCAATAAATCATTTGTACTGCCCCCTCCTTTTTTCAATATCTCTTCTCTTTTATTGACCATTTCCTCCAATAGAGCTCTCACTTCTCTTGCAATTTCTTTCATCCTCTTGTTCTTTTTTGTTGGAAGAAACCTATAAGAAAATCAAATGATAATAGTCAAGCAATATACACAAATTAAAGATTTATTATAAATTTGTGAATTGTTTTTCCCTTCAGGCCTGTTCGTTTTTTGGATTTTGAGAGGGAGAAAGTTGGTCAATGGAAATTTGGTTTCCATTATAATTAAAATACTCATATTCCTTTTTCAATACCCATGCATGCTCAGTACTTGTGCCACAGACAAAAGAAAATAGTAGTTTATATCAATCTTATAGAAGTGAAATAAAAAAAAAAAACATGTTTTCATTTTTAAATACATTTGCTAATAGCTTAATTTTCCAATCAAAGTTGCACTTTTGTTATCAGAAAAGACACATGGAAGTAAGCATTTTACTTTTTGTTGATGTAACACTTTCTAGACACAAGAAAAACAAAAAACAATATGTGCTAAAAATGCTACTTGTTCTTTACAGAAATTTTAATAGATAGTATCTCCTTATGTGATCATAAAATCTAAGGGGTTTTCACCAATATATATGGCTTTGTTTTCAAAACAAAAACAATTACCAAAATCAATATAATTATATTGTTTTCTTGGCCCATATGGAAGTTGTTTTTGTTTTGTGAAAACCCAACTATACATGTAACCAAAAACTCCCCAAGTGAAACCACAACATAATTTATATAAACACTTGTCTTTTTTCAGATAAAAAATAGGTTGTGGGTATTTGATGATTTGCAGCTTTCAGCAACCTGATCTTAGAACATTTCATTGGTTTATAAGACTACAAATAAGTGTACCATATGCAATAATGTCCATAATTCAAATATTGTAACTAGGGTTTAGAGAATGAAGCTGACTTCATATATATGGATAAGGCTAGCTATTAGATGAAAATGGTGATAATAAAGAAGTGTAACCCAAATCAAAAACTTAGCCTACCTGAAACCTGGGATATAAATAGACATAGCAGCCTGGACAACAAGGTGGGCCAGTTCATATTGGAGTTCAAATATTCGTCTCCCTTCTTCATAGCTGCTACCAAATGCTGACCTCGAGATGACATCTCTACTCAAAATTTGGAGTTCAGGCCACATGTCCACTTCACATGACCCTTTTGAGTCAGCCAACCTTTCCCATCTTGTGATAAGCTCACTGCAACTGGTAGAAAATGCTGGCAACATTCCCTATATATAACAACAAAAACAAAACCACCATAGTTGAGAGAAAGATAGGTGAATTAGTAAACAATATTAGTAAGGGTTCATTTGGTTCACAGGAAGAATGACGCTAGTTGTTTGGTTGGATTGAATGAGATTCCAATTCCCATTCCTGGCGAAATAGCTAGCATTCCCCATTTGAGGGAATGATCATTCTATTCCAATTCTAACTGTAAATCAAACAGACCCTAAATCTTTGTTGGTTTGTTGTATTCAAATAACTCAAATTAAGAAGAAAACCATAATAAATAGAAGACAACCTTTAGCTTCTCTGGATGGAATGCGGGATTGATGATTCTTCTATGTGTAGCCCATTTTTCTCCATCGTAGCTTACCAGTCCTTTTACCAATAACTTGGTGAGAGGATTTAATTTGTCTCTCTCAAAGTGTCCAAACTTGTTAAACAGAATGTCCTTTACTAATTCTGGATCCGTAACATACACAATGGGAGTTCTCCCATTCCATGATAACGACATTTCACCTGTGACAATTAAAAGGAAACTATAGTTTACAAAAAAAAAAAAAACCTTATATAGACTGTGTGCTTCGGGTTTTTGAAAGTGTTTTGGCTTCATACTACAATGTTCTTAAAAGCAGTTCTTACCAAACGGCACTCAAAACCTTTTTTTTACCTCAATTTTGTTTTCCACAGCCCAAATTAAGCTCAAAAGCACCAGTTTATTTTCTCAGGGGAATTAGGGCTACAAGATTATTTATATATTATTAATAATATGAACAAAAATGACTAAGTTTAATATTGTATTTCATAAACAAAATGAATTCAAAACTAGTATGAAACTTGAACTTATGTCAATTTAGTATAAACATTTGTCAATTGGATACCATTTACAGCCCTATTAGAAACCAAATGATCTGATATAATGATATTGATCCTCTACATTTTTCTTTTCTCTCTCTCTCTCTCTCTCAAGAAACCATTCAATCTAAAAGTTTAAGCTGTTAGTTAAGGTTCCTGAGTAGGTTTTTATTCTCTAACAGCTCCTTCATGTGATTTGAAGTGTAGGCAAGCACAATCTCTCTCATTCCTTGTGCTGAAATTTAATTAATTATAAGGGTAATAGACTTAAACATACTCTGAATTTTGAATTTTCGTAAATTGATTTAAATATACCCTTAGTTTTTCAAAAAGACTTAAAGATACCTTATGACTCTTTTACCCTTCATTTTTTTTCAAATTTTTAAAGTCTACCTTGAATTTTTCAAACTCATTATTAGAAAAGTATAAACAAAAGTCATAAATCAAAAACAATAATCAGATAAGTAGAGAGAGAATAATAAAAGAAAATTATAGATTGAAAATAGTAAACAATACTCAAACCAGAAATGGTGATTAGATCTACAAAGGCAAGAATACTCACTTGGGTTTGGAAGAAAGAATAGCTGGTAATAACAGAATTGTTAGATAGTGTATGCCCTTAGCTCCAATCAAAATGATGTACCTTATGACATTTAATGTAAATGAATAAAATACATATTTGATTCATGTTATTATGGTGTGTTTCTATGTAATACCCTTAAACTGGACACATATGAGACTCGTGTTAGTTTAGAATCTTCACAGCCATTGGATAGATCTGGGGAGATTTATCTTGCCAAGGCTGGCACTAATGTGCCGCCAAGTTGGTTGGGGTGACTTGTCTTAGCTGCCAGGGTGAGACCTGAGGTACATGTAGTGTGGGTTTTCTTGAAACCCTAAACCGGACCAGAATTCCAGTATTGCCCTGGACCTTGGAGATAGATGGGCAAAACTGGAATGTTACACCTGACCTCTAGACTCGATTATGATACTGCACTAGGTGTCGGATTGGGCTGTCTTTGATAAGACAATCAGTGAGATCCTTAGAGGGGGGGTCAAAACCTAGGTATGTTGGGACAGTCCGATGGGTATGTTGCACTCTCTGCTCACATCTGATTGAGTGATCATAGTGACAGGATCAGCCCCTTTGTCGGACAAAGTGAATGATCGGGGATGCACTCTCTTTGATGGAAACCAAAGCTGTCGGCAGCCGATTTCAACCATTGAAATTTGTTTTGCAAAATATACATTTATATAGAGATATACATACATACATATATATATATATATATATATTATGGTTTCAAAATGTTTGCAAAAGGTTTTAATTCCCGGGATCCATGTGAGTAGAGAGTGCAACACTGTTCCTTGCAGCCGAGGGAGAKGTCMTCTCTTGTCGAGTAGTGTTTGATCATTATGGGCTGAGAGGTTAAGTGTAAGACCATTGAGGGTAATATCTGATGGGCTAATCTTGCATCTGTCCACAGTCCTTGGGTTTTTATAAGGTGGCTTGACCCAATGACCATTTAGTGTAAATGTTAGGCCCATTAAGAGCCCATGGTGATGGACTTAGGGGTTCACTGTATCCTATAGTGAATTCGGCCAGGCCTTGTAACAAAGGCTAGGTTGAACCCATGTGGCTGATGTGTAGATCAATGTTTAGGTCCCACGCTATACAAGGATATCCAACTGGACAGCAGTTTAGAGGATAAGTGAGCACATGGACTTAATGGGCCTAAAGCCCAATTCGAACTAATTTAGATCAGTAGATAGGATAAGGGATTATCCCTATCCACTCAGAGAGTTCATATCCAAATAGAGATTTGGATCAGGAAACTCCTAATTAGATTAGGATGACTGATCTTTATCTACAGATAAGATAAGGGATTATCCTTATCTCTTAAAGAGGGTCCATATCCAAATGCAAGATTTGGATTAGGAAACTCCTAATGGGATTAGGAGAACCTCTCTTTAAGGCTATAAATAGAGGAGGAGGGTGAACCCCAATTCATCTTTCAGCTTACTGATACAAGAGAGAAGACAATATACAGTTGGACTGACACCATCTTCTGCTCTTGCCTTCTCTTACTATTTCTACCATTGCCAGTTCGATTTCCACCTGTAAGAGCGATCAAGAAAGGTTCTTGATATCAATTTTTTGAGAAAAACTGATCTGAAGTCGTGCTCACTCGCCCTCCATTAGATTCTTGGTGAAGAATCAGGTTCTTGATGAAGAACCCCCCTGCTGATTCTGCTCCACCCTACGCTGTGTCATCTTTAGTGGGAGTAGTCTTTGGTGATCTCCTTGGATGTGATTACCTTCATTGGGAATTACTACTACTCTGTATCAGGTATATCCCTCTCCTACTTTTTGGTTTCAGATCTGGTCAGGTTTAGGGTTCAAGATTGATCATTGAAAATGCTATTTTCTAAAACAGGGAATGTGATTCCCACATGGGAAAGAGAGAAATTTTTGAAATTTCGCCCAACCTACCTACAGGGTTCGGCCATCCATATAATGGATCTCTCATCCTTTCAAGAATAGAGAGACAAAAAATCCACAAGCAAACAAGGCTGAAATGGAGTAAGTGGATAAATTACAGTGGAACTTCTAAAATGTGATATTATAAGAGATTGAAAGGATTTCCTTAAGATTGTGTTTGGTTTGAAGGAAAAAGTAGAGAAAGAAAAGGGAAATGTAGGGAAACCTATACAAGGCTAAAGGCAGGGAATCCATGCCTTTCCCTTCCTTTTCCCTACTTTTTCCTCCAAACCAAACACAGCCTAAGAGTTGAAAAAGACTTTTTAGATGGCAGAAATGAAATTTTACGAGTAAAATTATTTCATCCATAGGCGGCCCGCTTATGGACTACCCAGAAAAGTTGACCAATTAGATGGTTTGACAACCAAGACATAGAATGTTGATGAGTATCGGTTTGTGTCAGCTTCTATGTATTGGCTTTTGGCTATACTAAAAGGAGATTCCCCCCTCTCTCTCTCTAGCCATGTGCCCTTGTTTTATTTATTAATTTCTTTGTTAATATTATTTCTTAGTGAACCTTAGACATAATTAATAGTGTTTTCTTCTTCTTCTTCCACCTGACATCTCTTTCTTTTGTTTCTCATATAAAAGGGCAAAATAGGATTTAAAAATTTTTAAATTTATTGTTTCATTGATGGAGGGTATGTTTGAATCCAATGAAGTTGATTCACAAGATATATTTAAGTCTATTTAAAAAACTGATGATACCTTTGGCTCAATTTATCAAAACTGTGTTCAAGTCTTTTATCTAATTATAATAAGGGATCAGAATCAAAACACTGGATCACTTGATCAACGAGGCTCTGGTACCATATCAAGAAAGTATGCCTAAAACTTAAACTGTTAGATGAGATCTCTAAATAAGTTTTTAGTCTCTCTCTTATTGTCTCTAAAAATTAGAATTAGATCAAACAGAGATCCAACATGTGGCCATAATTGGCAAAATATCCTCAACATACATCTAAAGCATACAAAGAGAGAGAGACTGAAATAAATAATGTTGGGGAAAGAACATACCGTAAGTCTGAATAGTATGATGTACAAACGGGATGACACGTCCCACAATGTTGTGAGAGAGGCTGCCGACGGGCTTGGACAGTGCTTCCTTCCTCAACCTCGCTTCCTCTTTCTTGTTTCCGAACAGCAACCTATAGGGATGTCCCCTGATGCCTTGCTCCTTCAAACCCCTCTCCACCTTCATGGGCCTCCACCATATCCAGTAAAACACCCAGGCCCCTGTCAGCATTACACCACATAAGGCTATAAAGCTAATTTCTCCCATAGCCATAGCCATACCCATATTAATTGTGTCTGTATGTGCTTCTCTCTCTTCTCTCTTCTCTGCGTGTGTGTGTTTGAGAGATTGAGAGAATGGGAGGGGGTGGTTCTGAATATATACCTTGGAAAGAACCCAGAGGTCTACACCGGAAAGGTTCCCGGTTTGCAGCATTGGTTCAACCGGTGGAGCAACCGGGTGATGCCATTGACATGTGAGAACAAATTTTGGCATGTTAGTTCATACCAGGTCTATATATAAAACCATTTGGTTTTGGTTGGGCCAATTCGGTTTTCAAGATATGCCTGTCTTGTCCATCAACTATTTGGAAGTCTGAACTTTGAAAAGTCAAACTAGTTACTTGAGGAAGATAAACACGTCTCTTAAGATGGAGAACCACAGTCTAGAGAGCTTTTTCTGGTCAATTGTTGACTGGAATCCCCACTGTTCTATCTATTATTTGTGGTGTTGTCATGAACAGAAAACCTCTAAGTGACACCTAAGATGTAGGATAGTAAGCCATGACATCCCAAAACCGATGCAAGCAACTTATAAATATCTATGTTTTTTTTTTCTCCAAACCCTACGGAACATAGGCATGTTAGCATGTTAGTGTGTGGGATCCATAAAATTGTGGCCCATAGTTGTAGTCGTTAGGGTTTCTCATTCAACGACTTCCAACTTCCATTTGATTGAGTCTAAGGTAAACTATTAGGCCCTAAAATCTCTCTCAACCATTCTATTATTATCTAACTTTAATTTAAAATTTATGGAGGATAACGATAAGAAAAAGAGTGAGGAGTGGTTAAGTAAATTAGGAGATGTGTTTGTTTCTCACAAGGCTCTTGTTTGACGAGGTTCCTAAGGATGAAAATTATGTATATATATATTCATGTTAAATATATATTATTATTATATATAATATTATTTAGATTATTTATATATCAAAATATATTTAAAATAGTATTTATATTTATCTTAAGTAAATTTATTTTGCAAAAAATATTGTTAACTAAAAAATTTTGGAGATCGTGTCCCCACAAGGAATCTATCCCCATCGAAGATCAAAGATGGAGGACAATTTTTCTCTCCAATGGGGATCGGAGTGGGGGACGGGGATTTATTTTAGAATCAGAGTCGAGGACAGGGAATATGATCCCTGCCCCAAACCCGCCCCATTACCATTCTTAAAGGCACACTGATGGGGGAACCACCTACAAAATAGGGTGGATAGGGTCCCTCCCTTTTTCCAATCTTTTAAGAGTAGAGAATCCCCTTCATATTTCTAACACCACCAAATTTTCTTTGAGATAAAGGAGATTGTTGAAAGAGGCCCAAGTACTAGAGTAAGTACAAACATCATTGAGAGAGAATAGAAAATTGTTAACTCTTGCAAGACTATTAGTCTACATAGAAAGAGCCTTCAAGTACAAGGAGCAATTTTTTGAAGTTGCTAGAAAGAGGATTATTTTGGATAGCTAATCAATCCAACTGTTGGGAAATATTCAACTGAGCTTCGAGTCTGAAGATAGGTACGATCACTATTTAGTTTATTATATTAATTGGTGCAAGTTTAAGATGACATTTTGTCAACCAATAATGCACTCCATTGATCTGAAGTTTATTTTAATTTTCCATTAGAAAATGAAGGATTGGTTCTGTTGGTAAATGGAAACACCATTATTGGGTTTGAATCAGCTGCAATAATGAAGATAATGGCACTAGAGAGCAAAAACCAGAGTTTGTCTTTGAGGAGAGTTGGAGGGTAGGAATGAGAAATGTAGAGATAGAGGAAGATGGAGAAGAGAAAGGCCAACAACGAGATTGTTAGGGCTGTATCCTAGCCATCAGTACTCGCCACATGGACACCATGGTAACTGAGTCCATTCGATGAGTTTGGCCATGTCAGCAACTCTCATCAGGCAAATAGTTAGGTTGTCACACGAAGACCCCAGATGGATAAGCTCCAAACAACTCACACTATAGCACGCAAGACCTTGAAGATTACGAACCTCAACCTCTCTAAGGAAACGATGCACAAGACATGGGGCGTACCCTAGTAGGACATGACACTCGGCTATTTAAAGGCATCTCCCTTCAAAGGTTTGGGTATCTCTTGGCTCACTCTCTTGCTCTCATATCTCCTCCTCGACTCGGATTAGCTCGATCCGATCGATGTCACCACTCTCTATTAACTTGAGTAGTGGAGTGCCTTCCTAGGGGATCTTATCCTTGGGAATATGACATTGTCTTGCTTGTAGATTTGCTTGGTGCACAACCTCGTCCTTCCACCTCAGCTTCATCCAACTTGGCAGGTCTATTTTCTCTGTGTCTGCCTTGGTTACAACTCGGATCAAATAACATCAGATTGGCTTTGTCTATGAGAATCGACACAAAAAGCCTCCAGTTTCTCTCTTTTTCTGTGCACTAGCAATCATGCCTCCTAAGAACACCTTCGACCACTCTAGCACTCAATCCCCATCACGGGGATCCCACTCTCAACATACTTTCCGTCCTTGTTAAGTTCGACAACCAAAGCAAGTGTCCCCCAAAGAGTTCAACGCCTTGTAGAGAACAATTGACCGACTTATTGTGATGATGGAGGCATTGGGGTAGTCTGGACGCAGCTTGCAATCGCACCACCAACTCATTAAGTGCTCACTATGGTCAACCCTCAAGCTGAGGACCCCAAAGGGCACCCAAGAGACCTCCTAAAGCCCAAGGCCGAGTGCAAGCAACCCTAGTCACATCGGAGATTTGACACTCAGACCCAAAGTCAAGCACACGACGCTCACTTTCCATCCCAACATTCTAGCACCTGAGTCCCAACCAAGGAGTGCCTCGGACCCCAATCACAACACCAATAGCCACAAGCCTCCCAGATCGAGTCAAGCTCTATTAGAGACTGCCAAACACCACAGAAACTAGTAAAGCATTTCAACCTCGGCATTGAAATCAAAGACATGCAGGAGTGGTTGAATAAACTCAAACGAAGTTACCTCAACCAAAATGTTCTTTCTAGTGGAGCTCACCCCACTAAGGAGCTAGTCTTCGTGTAGGGGATCATGGACAAGTAGCCCCTTTATGGGATGGCATCCTCCTCAACTCGATAAATGCAATGGCACCACCAACCCCATCGATCACCTGGAAAGGTTTAAGGCCACTATGCTCCTCCATGGCACCTCCAAAACCTCACTATGCAAGATCTCCGCCTCCACTCTCTAGGGAGCAGCTCGGCAATGGTATTCTACAATACCACCGTGGTCCATTAGCACATGGGACTAGTTCGAAGAGAAGTTCCTAGCATAGCTCACCAGTAGCTAGAACACTGGAAGATGTCAGCCAGTATCATGCAGATTAGGTAGAAAGACGAGGAGTCTCTACAGAGTACTTGGCAAGGTTTAATACCGAGTCCATCCAAGTTCAAAACCTAGATCAGTCTGTGGCCATGCCGTTTGGTGCATGGCATGCAATCCTCTTGCTTTAGCTTTTCGTTGCTAAAGAAGCCTCTACAGAACATGACTGAACTCCTTGCATGAGCCCAAAAGCATATCAATGTCAAAGAGGCCCAAACACAACGAACCGAGTTGAGATCGTGATGACTATTGATTTGATCATGATGAGAAGAGGTCAAAACATCAACGAGACTACAAGCCAAGGACTCCACCCCCGATCTCCAAGAACTTCACACCCCTCAACATGATGCAGATTCTTAACCATCAGTTTGTTCGATGGTTGGAGAAGTTGAAATCTCAAGGAAACAAGAGGACTAGGAACAAGTATGGTGGGTTTCATTGAGATCATGGCCACGACACCAAAGACTATTGAGACTTTTGCAACCACATAGAAGACCTCATCCAGAGAGGGTATTTTGGGGGCTTTGCGGCTGATCATTAAGCTCCTAGAAGAGACAACTCACGCCATGCTCACACACCCAATGACTGGGGCCCACCTTTAGCCAGAGTCATCACTGTCATCTCAGGCAAGGCAACATTCGAAGAGGAGATCCCCTCAAGTGGCACGACTCTAGCCCCAACCAGCCAAACTCCTTGTAACTAATTTTGAGCAATAAAAGTTACTTTTGATGATATGTGTTTTCCATATTACACACACCAAGTCCCCTCCACGGTGACCCAACCGAACTCTAACGGTTGAGCATGAACACTTAGGATTCCTAGCTCAGGCTAAGCAAAGAGAAAATGATGTCCCCACCACTCATAGCTTGAGGACAACCAGAGCAGACCACCCTATGACATCGTAATGGCCTTACAGAGACGAGGACCCATGGCAAGACCCTTGGCCTAGAATTGAGGGAAGAGTTGGTTGAGCACCATGACTGATTCGTTAAGGAGATACTAACCAGCTCCTAAATGACTAGCAACCACAGAGCTCCCTAAGGAACTTGAGAACTTGGAAGTGCCTCAGCCAACTCGGCTTGGGGATTGCCCAAGCCATGAAGTCCAAGACCTTGGTTGACCAAAGACCAAGGTCACACTTCGAACAAGCGAGTAAGGGGGAAGGCTTAAGACCTCGGTGAAGGCCTCAATCATGTAAAGGTCAAGGCCACACTAAAAAAGTAGTGCAAGTCAATAGTAGAATCTGAAGAATTTAGGCAAAATAACTTTCATTTATCAAAAAAAATTTTACAAGTATTTTATCTTGGCATACCGAACTCTATAGAAAAGAAAGAAAAGTAAAAAGGAACCATAAAAGACATTTAGGCTCGTCACATTGAGCCATACAAGACTGACAAAAAGAAACAAATCAAGAGTTACTGGTTTGCTAGACGATCCGACCAAAGCTGATCCTCGGCCTCATCGTCTCACCTGATTTCTCTTCCCTTGGCCTAATCCATTTGAGTAGGCTACTGATCCAAGGGCTGAAGGTCAAGGATGGCCTTGGCCATCTCAAGAAACATGTCCGCCACCTTCTTCTTGCACTGCTCGAATCCAAGGATATATGAGTTGATGGTAATGTCATCCAACTTCCACTCATATTGGGTCAATGCACAAAACTCCCTGACCGTCTAAAACATAGTTTCCTCAATCGCCCAGTCTCAAGACTCCTTAGCTACAAGAGCTTTCTTATCGGCTAAGTCTGTCGTGGCCTTCGCTTTGTCCAGTTCCTTCAAGGCTTGGGCCTTCTTCTCCTTTACCTTCAACTTCACCCTCTCCCTGCCCAGGGTGGCCCTCGTGGCCTCTGTCTTCCTTTCCAAGGTTTCGATAAATTGGGACATAACATGCATTCGATTGACAAGGTGGACCACCAAGCAAGTGCCCTAGCAAGACAAGGTGTCAAACCAAACCAAAAAAAAAGGGAGAAGCAAAGAGATTCTCACCGCCTCAGTCTCTATATGGCCAAGCTCTCTAGAGACCCACTTGTATGGCTGGTTGTCTCCCTGCCAACTATTCAGCCATGCCCTCTGTCTCCAAAGTTTCGCTAGGACAGACATTCCAGATCGACCAGTATACCGTGGCCTCCCCCCCTCCCCCTCCCACTTCGGAAATTGGGGTCTATGCCTCAAGGATTCAACTGTGAATGGCCATGCTGGGAGAGCACCTCTTCAAAGTCTAGCTCCACCACCTCGCCTTCTATCATCCTAGGCCTCTTTGACTATCAAGGAGTAGTCTCCATGGATCGACATTGCAGAGGAGCCACGCCCAACGACGAAGCCACAACCTAAAAATGCCTCATACTCTCCTTACTGCCGGCCATTTCTATGTCTACTTGGCAAAGAAGGATAGCTAAACACCTGAAGCAAAAAGAGAGAACCATGAGCTCTCACTGAGTCAGAACCGACCAGTCAAGGGTTGCATCAACCCATCTTAAATTAGCATGGCAAATGAGGTGTACTATTGGACATGCACCCTCATGATCCACCTTAAGGCTGCTACCTCTTCCTCGACTTTGGAACTAGAGGGCTGGTGTTGGGGCTGTATCCTTGTTGTCAGTACTTGTTGTGTGGACACCGTGGTAACTGGGTCCATCTGATGAGTTCAGCTATGTCAACAACTCTGAGTTAGCATCGGGAAAACGATTAGGCTATTACGCGAAGACCTCGGATAGATAAGTTCCAAGACAACTCGCGCCATAGCATGTGAGACCTTCGATGATTTCAGACCTCGGCCTCTTCAGGGAAACAATGCACAGAACATGGAGTGTACCCTAGTAGAACATGGCACTCAGCTACTTAAAGGCATCTCCCTTCAAAGGTTTGGGTATCTCTTGGCTCACTCTCTTTCTCCCATATCTCCTCCTTAGCTTGGACTAGCTCGTCCTCAATAGCTCGACCCGACTAACATCACCACTCTCTACTGACTTAAGCATGGGAGTGCCTTCCCTCAGGACCTCTTCCTTGGGACTCTAACATTGTCTTGCTTGCAGATTTGCTCAGTGCACAACCTCAACCTTCCACATCGGCTCTGTCCAAGTTGGCAAGACTATCTACTACATGTCCACCTTAGCTACATATCGGATTGGACAACTTCAGAGATATTGTTCACTTTTTATTCAGATATTAAAGAGGGTTCATGAGTTGGGTAGATGTTCCATTCGTTGTGAGTGTTTGGGTTTTAATTTTGGAAAGAAGTTGGTCGAGGTTGGAAGTGCGGGAGGAGGATTTTAGTTGAAACCCATCGTTATTGTTCAGGTTGCCAGTATAAGAGATTTAAGGTGTTGATATAGTAGAGTCTCTTAGATAAACAATAGAAAAGAAGAGGTTCAAAGAGGGTTTGTAGTAACTCAAGAACAATACTAAAAAGAGGTTCAAAGATTAGGGTTTAGATTAGATAGAGAGATAGAGAGTGAGAGAAAAAGGGGAAGGGGAGAAACATTCTTGTTCTGTTCGTGAGGGTTGCTTTTGTTGAATAGCGCTTATTGAGAATTACCGACTTGCCATTAAAAGGCTTGCTCGGTTCATTTCTACAAGGGCAAATCTCTTAAAGAACCTTCTAAGTTTTAGGAAATTGATTAACTCTACCCTTACTATTTATAAACTGCCTTAAAATACCACGAAGACTTATGACAATTGACAAAATCCTCCCTTATCATTAACGTTCCATCACAATGTAAACACATAACACTAAATGATGTATACAATTTTTTTTAAAACTCAATATTGCCCTTTTATGGTCGATTTTGCCCTCCATTATTTTTCAACATTTCAAAATAAAACTCAACATCCACCTTACAAACAAGAACATAGGCCTCAACATTTACTTGGTTGAAGGTCAAGAACATAAAAGAGAATTTCTCCACCGTTTCCTGTGATATTGAAGTAGATGGACATGGAGCTAGCTAGAGCTAGGGTGCAATCGAGTAAATCTTGGCCGAACTTTGGCATGTCTCAGCTCGAACTATATTTTTCGGTTCAAGCTCAGTTCAATTAAATATTTAATGAGCTCAAGTTTGGCTCGAAGTCTCAAAAATAAATATATTTGTATTATATATATGATATTTTTATAATATATAGTATATTCTTATATTATGTATGTATGTATGTATTAATCGAGCCAAGCTCGCAAACTTTTAAGCCAAACTTTTTATTGGTCGAGCTTGAGCTCAAATAACTATTCGAGCTTACTCCAAGGTTTGAACTCGATTCAAGTTCGATTTTAATCAAACTCAAACCAAGCCTAATCGAATTTGAGCCCAAACTATTCAAATAAAGCTCAATTCAATTACAATCTTAGCTAAAGTTAAGATGGCCTCCTCAAAATCTAGTTTTTGGTTGGGAGGTGATCCCTCCTGTTCACCTATTCAGAGGTCTTAGCAGTAATGGAGAAGGGAGATGATCCCATCTAGTGTTTGGGTTGCATATGTTTTAGTTGGACATCTCTATCCGTTGGAAAACTTTGTCAACAGAGAAAGTCTGTCATGAATAGAAGACAAGCAATGTATTATTCTAATGCTTCATTATGAAAATTTAAAGAATAATGACGGGCAGAATAGTCTTTTCCATCTTTTTCGTTGATGGACGCTAACAGCAGGGGTGGGTTTAGTCAATCGTTAGTAACTTGGGGGGAATTTTAAGGCAATTTCTAAAGAGTAGAGGTAAATAAGTTAATTTCCTAAAACTTAGGGGCAATTTAAGAGATTTTCCCTTTCACATTTTTCTACTTAGATGTACATGAAAACTTGTTAATGGAGGGTACACACTTCCTATGGGTTGAATGGTCCTTAGGATGTGAGTTCATTTCACCCAAGGTTCCATCACTCAATACGTATGCATAATGTAATAATTTGCGTATAGCACATAATACTTTTAATTTAATTTTTTTTTCTTTTTTTTTCAGATTTTTCAGGGGTTAGTCTTAGGTAGGGTTGCAAACGGATTGGATCGAATTCGAATCAAGGTATATCCAAATCCAGTCCGGCATTGTTCATGGCAGATCTGACTAGATTTGACAGGCAAAGATCTGAATTCGAATCTGATCGAGAAGTCGGATCCGATTCAATTTGTTTTCTTTAAAAATTAATAAATTATTAAAAGAAAATTAAAATATACCAATTTAAATAAAAAATACAAGTATTTTTTAATTATTTTCATCGTATATATACATGCTTTTTGTAAAAAAATAAATAATATAACAAATTTATAAAAATACATACATATATATATATATATATATATATTGGATAGGGGGTGATCCGAATCCAATCCGATCCGAAAATCTGAACAAAGGCGATCCAAATTCAACCAAATAGGATCAGATCTCGGATCCATTTGCATCCCTAGTCCTAGGTCTGCCTATCCCCTAAAAATGATCTAAACCCCCAAACCCCTGTCTTTAGAGTATCGGGGTTTGCTAAATATGCCTGACACGGGGCATGTGGTATCAAAATTTTGAACCTTGTTTTCATCTTGTTTAACATTTGATATGTGCTTCAGTGCTAGGCTGGTCCTGATGACCCTAGTTTGGGGCCGATCTCTAGTGTGCCTGCAACAGAATCAGAACCCATTTGGGAGGGATTCAATGATGATTGAGTTGCACTGACTGAGCCGCTTCAGAGAAGCTACCAAAAATAGCTTCACAGAAAAGTTGATTTCTCTATGCAGACATATTTCTGGTTTTCTAGGGTTTTTTGCCAAACATGACTTCACAGCTTGCCATGTGGAGCCTACCTTGCAATGCCAGAAACTGCTGTATGAAAGCCCTTCCAAACGGGCATTAATTAAAGGAAGAATCACATATCAGTTCTAGCTTTTGAGCAAGAGCCCATCTCCATGCCAGAGTTGATGTCATGTACACAGTGCCACAGTGGCACATTTGTTCTACCATTTCTTTGTATGGACAAGATTCCAAGAATAGGTGCAAATTTGTTGCAGACAACCACAGCAAAGAAAATAAAGAATTAGTAATAGTTCTGCATAGAGGTGGAGCTTGGAAGGATCCAATTAATCCAATCTTTTGAGAAGTTTAGGCTTGAACTTTTTTAGCTTCTTTATTGGGCTTTGGCCCCAAAGGTTATTAAATTAGGCCTCACTAAGCTCATGTTGGGCTTGACTTAAAGCAATGAGTAGCCCAAGTCTGGTTGTAAGTGCATAAGTAGTAAAGTTGTATATTCATCCCAACTGCCCAGGCCCATACACGCAAAACAAACATACACTATGTGCATCATGAATATGGATGTAATAGATTCTATATTTTTCTTTTTATTAATTTTTAAAATGGAATGTACTCTCTAAATTGAAATATAAAAGTGCAAAAATATTAGGAAGAAAAAACATCAAGCCCACAAACCCTACCAAACTGAGCCCAGTTTGAGTTTTGTTCGGTCTGGCTCAACCCCTTTTTGGTGCAGAAACACATGGATAAATTAAAAACTATATTTAATTTAGATTTTTCCTTTTCAGATAATTCCCTTGTATTGATTAGATCTTTATTTAACTTTATTGAATCATAAATCTAAGAAATGTGTTTAAAAGCCCTCCTCTAAAGCAACTTTTTTTTTGTCACATTCATGCATGATTTATCAGTGTTGTTAGCTAGTCTCTGACAACTTGTGAGAGTTTGAATTTGCTGCTTAAGCTTCAGTAGCTTAAACGACCAAGACATCCAGCTCATAATGTATCTATATAGTGTTAGATGTAGTTCAATCCACTGCATAACTAATATTCTTAGATTACAAGAAGAGGTAGGTCTTCACTCTGGACTTTCTACCACATCTGATAAATCAATGGTGTGGTGAAGAACTCATAGTTTATGTAAGAGGATCTGAGCACCATATTGGGGTTGAAGAGTTAAAACTGTGCAAGGGGCATGACAGTAGGTTGGTGAGAGCTCAAATGAAAAACGTTGTAGAATCATTGCCAGAGCCATCTTTACTACCATCAGTGCAAAATTCTGTCCAATGCAAATTCGAGGGCCCCAACTAAATGGGAAGAAGGTGACTTGATTCTTTGTTGCTTTTGAAACTCCTCCTGCAAACCTCTCTGGTTTGAACTCTTGTGCATCATCACCCCAAAATTCGATACTGTGGTGAAGGAGAATTATTGGCAATGAAAGCTCTACTCCAGGTGGCAAGAAGATTTCCCCTAGTTTGATCTTCTTGTATGTCCACCGAGAAATTCTAAACACTGGTGGATATAATCTTAGAACTTCATACAGAATCATGGTCACCTGCATAGAAGGTCAAATGACATTTCATTAAAATGTGTGTTGGAAAAGTCTTGGCCTTGATTGTTTGCATTGAAATTTCATTTGTACTGGTGCAACAGTATGGGAGTGAAAATTCTGGTTTACTTGTTTTGTTTGTTCATAGTGCAGAAGAAGTAAAATAAAAACTGAATCGAAGTAAAGCCTAAAGAAAAAGTAAACCAGAATCTACACTTTCTCATTTACACCCCCATGCATTTGTACTAGCTAGTGCAAATAAAACTGTAAAGTAAAGAAAGTACTCACAATTTTGAGTTGATTTAACTCATTAAAATCTGGCTTATTTTTTCCAAATACTTGTAAGACCTCTTCCCTTGCGCGCAATTGCCATTCAGAGTGCATACTCAACACAAGCATTGTCCATGTGAGCAAAATTGAAGTGGTCTCCCGTCCTGCAAAGTAAAATAGTTTGCACTCCCCGATCACTTCATCAATACTCATACCAACATTCTTTAAATTCCCATGCTCTTGGATCTCTTTAAAATTGAACTCCATTAGCAAACCCAATAAATCATTTGTACAGGCTTCTCCCATTCTCATAGCCTTTTCTCTTTTACTGATGATTCCCTCCAGTAGGGCTCTCACTTCTCTTTCCATTTCTTTCATTCTGTTGTTCCTTTTTGTGGGTAGAAACCTACATAGAAATTCAAGTGATGAATGTAAAGAAACTGTGTGGGAATCAACTTCATGACCTTTATCATATCTGGTGCAACGACTCTTTCACTCAAATAAAGAGATGCAGGATACATCAGCAAAAGATATCTTATCTCACAATCTCACATGTAAAGGCTACTCAAGGTGTAGTCATAAAATTGACTCATTTATACTACATACAAAGAAAATGTATATAGAAGTAATATTCTCATTTATTAATCTGAATGATCCTTTATTTGACTTGACTTTGAGCAATATCCTTATCAAGAAAGTATGGAACTGTAAGTTACAGTATCATTGAGCTTAGTTGAATATCTTAATCCTATCTCTCTCACCCCTCTTCCCTCTTTAATTCTTTGTTGAGAAAAATGTACTCCCCCTAATGATCCTTCTTCTTACCATTGAATCTATAAATTTGTCTGCATGTAGAACATATCCACAATGCTAGTGGTCATTATAGAAAATATGGGGATTAGTTTTTGCTGCTTCTCAGCAATCAACAAAGCTTTAAGAAATTTTGTAATCCAATACATTAATTAAATGCAACAATACCAGAACCAGAAGAGTTCACTATTAATGAAGCTAGAGTTTGTAGAATGAAAAAATAAGTTGAACCCTATTAATGCTTTCCCTACCTGAGACCCGGGATATGAATGGACATAGCATCCTGCATAATAAGGCTGGCCTGTTCTTCTTGAATTTGAAAAATTCGTCTCCCTTCTTCATAGCTGCTACCAAATGCTGCCCTAGATATGATATCCCCAGATAAATTTTTGAGTTCAGGCCATACATCCATTTCATATGACCCTTCTGATGGAACCAACTTTTCCCATCTTGTTATCAGATCACAACAACTAATAGAAAACACTGGTAACAGCCGCTGTACCCAATTCCAAGGAAGAAAAACAGAAGTGATCATTGTTGTAGTAGCAAAAGATTAACAATATAACAAAGTCATGGGAAAAGAAATTATGGTAATGCCTATAGTGTATTTCCTTCCCTTTCCCTGTAAGAAAATGTGTGGATTCATAGCTGCATTTAAACAGGATAGAGAATAGAAAACAACCTTTAGCTTATCTAGATGGAAAGCAGGGTTGATGATCCTTCTATGCTTAACCCATTTTTCTCCCTCATAGCTTACAAGTCCACTTGCTAACGACCTTGCAAAAGGATTTGGTTTGGACCTCTCAAAGTGTCCAAACTTGTAAAGCAGAATATCCTTTATCAGTTCTGGGTCTGTAATATAAATCCTAGGAGTTCTCCCAGACCATGATACTGACATTTTACCTGCATTTTTCAACCAGTTGTGTAAGGTAGAGCAGATGAAAAGAAATCATCTTTAGAATCCATACTTTATAAGGAAGAATAGATAACTCATGTCTTGTAGAAACTACTCATTTAAGAGAAATTTTATAAATACATGTAGAAATTCCAAATTTTTTAATTAACCAGAGAAACAGAAGGAATTGAGCCAAAATATTGTTTAAATGTAAGTCAGGGTGCAACTGTGAAAAGGATGAAAATTGCCACATCAGCAAAAACAATTTTTAGAAAAATGATAACTGGAAAACATTTTTTTTCTGATGTAGCACATCAGAGACACTTCATTAACTATGGGGATATTCACCAATATGCATGATTTTGTTTGAAAAGATGACAACTGCCACATCAGTAATAAAACAATTGTTGATTTCTAATGTGACAGCATGCATATTGGGAAATACCCCCAGCAGTTTCTCTGATTTGTTGTCCTTATCATAGTTGTGTTGACAAAAATGCCCACTCGAGAGTCTACTGGACCAGATGGCCATGGTTCCTGTCAAAAGATGAATCTTAGTTCTTGGTTATCCTCCACCTAGGAGATTCAGATGTTAGTTCCTGTCAAAAGGATTCTAACTCGACAGTCAATGCCTGGAGTTAATCTTCATCATCTACCCTATAAATATCAAAGTTTGAAAGGACTATTTATAGGGTAGATGATGAAGATTAACTCCAGGCATTGACTGTCGAGTTAGAATCCTTTCCTCGTGTTTCCTGGGATTATTCAATCCATCTGGGACCAATCTATCACTAAGAACACAGACCTGCAAGCTAAAATGAACAGACATCAAACTTATCAACTAATTAGAGCAACCAAAGATATGAAACACAAGTAATTTTTGCAAAAACATACCATAATTCTGGATGGTCTGAAGAACAAAGGGTGCAACTCTTGGGGCGATGTTGTGGGAGAGATTCATGGGCTTGGATAGTGCTTCTTTCCTCAACCTCGATTCATCCTTCAGATTCCCAACCAGAAGTTTGTAGGGAGGCCCCTTGATGCCTTGCTCTTTCAAATACCTCTCCAGCTTCATGGGCCTCCACCATATCAAATACAACATCCTCCACACCCATGACAGTATCAAAATACACAAGATTACAGTTGCAGAGATGAACACAAATTCTCCCATACCTTCAACTTGTTTTGAAGAATAGGAGAGAGAGAGAGAGAGGGGGATGGTCCTGCCAGTTTAGTGGTTATCTCTATAGACAAACAAACAAAATAAGTAAAATAAATTATTAATGCATGGTTTCACAGTGTCCTAGCTTTTCTTTCACGTTTCTCTATTATTTTAGTGGATTGGGGACCATGACAACTAATATATGTCTGCCAACAAATCAGAGGTATAACAGTGAAGGTAGCCCATTCACTGAAATGGTTAAACCAGCAAAGCAACCATTTCACAAATGGATGTAGGTATAAATACAAAGTATTCTATAATTCTATTTTAACTCTCTCTAGAGTCTAGATAAGTGTCTCTACTCAAGTGTGGAAGTCAAAATCTAAGAACAGAATAAGAATTAGTAACCACATATAAAAACACATTAAAACCAGCACTATAGACTTTGAATTGGATTCCATAAGCCACTATAACATGGGATATATATTACCTTTTTTGCGCTAAAAACTAGCATTTCTTTAGATCATAAAACACTGATTTGAGAACATTCAAGCAAAAAACTAGACTAAATGGCAGCTTTTGCTCATGTGTTGATCTGTATTTTATACCCCTGATATCTAATTAAAATAAGATTTCAAATAATTACAAAAGCAAACAATCAAATAATAGAAGGGTTGAATGGTTTGTACCATTAGTGTAGATATGAATGAGTATAGAAGAATATAGAATGGCTAAATTTGTAAAACTTGTTTTATTCAAACACTTTTGTGGTTTATCAATAGGTCTATAATCGGATCAGATGTACATACATCCAAGTTTGATTCCATAAATGAAAACCACCCATCCGAATTCGATCCGAACTCCAATCTGATGCATAAGAAATAAATCTGAGTTCGAGTTCGATCGGATGTATCAGGTTTCGGATTCCACCTGAGTTCGACATAATTAAACAAAAAAAAATATGAGAAGAGAAACAAAATTCAAAATTCAAGAAGAGAGATTGTAACAGATGATTGTTGTTTCTAAATGTTAAAGTGAACGGGGAAACAGCCTTTCCTCCCTCTACCTAAAAAYGGAACTCTCATCAATGGCTACGGTGGAAAATGGCAAGAGGATCATGAAGAAAAGAACTAATAGAGATCTGTATTCCATGGTTGGATCTGTTGAAACTGAGAGCAGGGCAGGCAATCGATGGTTTATTAGATCCTTAGGCTGTGTTTGGTTGCTGTACAATTTTATTTGCACTAGTACAAATGCGCATGGGAGTGCAAATGAAAAAAATGCAAATTCTCGTTTAATTTTATTTTTGGCCTTAATTTATTCTGTTTTGTGTCTTAATATACGTACTGCAATCAAACAAAATAGGGAAAATTTATGATGCGGAAAATGTATGGTATAGGAAGAGTTCTGACCAATCAAAACCCACCCATGAATTTTGATGAATAACACCTGATTGCCTACCGGGCTTATGATTCCAGTTGACTGGTTAGAAGTTTTTCAAATATCATATCTTTTTCATATCATAGCGGAACCCAACAAAATAAGCTAAAATTTAAAACAAAAATAGGTCAAAATTTATACTCAAATCATTTGCATTGCCATAATTTTGCATTAGTGCATATCTATTTGTAGAGGTGTAAAGTGGGTCGTGTCGGGCCGGTATGGCACGGCCTGTGGGCGGCCCGCGCAAAGTGCAAGTCGTATCGTGCTAGCCCATAGACCATTACAGACCATGTTGCCCTCCCCTATGAAAATTCTGGGGGTCGGCCCAACACAGCCCAGGCCCATTTGGGCCCGTGCCGTGCCGCGGGCTGTAGGTCGTGCCGGGCTGGGCTACAGGGCGGGCCTTGGGCCTGGGTCGAACCGGGCTAGACTGAATGGATATGGATATGGTTATGAATTATGAATTTATGATTGCCCAAAAAATAAATAAATAATAAAAGTATAAAACAATTCAAATAGGAATTTTATTTCATTTAAATTTGAATGAATAATGATATAAATTACAAAGTATACAAATATTGAAATATACAATGGTTGGATACTTCATACTTCATACTTGGATGAATGAAATATGAAAATGGAATAAATTAATAAAATATAAAAAATACAATATAGTTACAAATTGAAAATACAAAATTACATTAATAGCAAACAAATTAAAACAAAATTTACAATAAATTGAAAAGAAATAAAAAATTGTGAGTTATTTGTTAAAATTTACATATACATTATGATGAAAGCATTCACACTTTCATCATCTGCTTTAGGTGAAATATCCGGTGAATGTAGTAGTATCATGCCTTCCTTTGTTTTATAATTGTAAAGTTGTAATCTATATTTTGCATCATAATTACATCTAGCCAACCCTGGTACAGTGGTACCTATAGGTCCTGTACTAAAACAACTAAACAAGACTTTGATGGAACTGTAGCTTGTAGACACCAGAGGGGTTAGTAGATCATGGATCACGTGCCATGGTGGGATTGGCAGTGAGAAATGTTCTCCGACTTCTCCCAATATTTTTAAAATTGATTTTCCATTATTTCAACAATTCATTTAAATTGTGGGTTATTTCTTCTTTCTTCTCATGTGTGAGAAAATGTTTGGTCAAATGGCCAGTACCACCCTTGCTACAATAACTAAAGTATTTTCTACATTTTTGGCAAACTGCTCTTTTCCCCTTCCCCTCAACATCCTCTATTTTAAATATTTTCCAAATCGGGCTATTAAACTTGGGGTTTTGGGAAGAGTTGGCCATTTTTTTTTAATTCTGAAAAAATAAAATTAATTTAATTGTACTTACCCCGGATTGTCGGTTCAGAATCCCAACTTGATTTCAACGGTTAAAGTCTTTCAACGTGACAACATCCAAGGCTCCAAGCCTCCCAGATTGCTAACTTGGAGAATTAGATAATCAACCAATCAGACTATGAAACTATCAAAGTTCACTCAAATTGCAAAGAATGTATGAGAGATTGAGAGAGTGAGAGAGGGAAGACTGAAGAGATTAAGAGAATAAGAGAATTGCTGAATGTTGATTATTGAATTGGTGTGATAAGAAGAACGGTGGAGGATAGGGGCCATAGGGCTATTTATAGGAATTGAAAATAATTCAATTGCCCAAAATATCCTAAAAAATAATTGGTTTTTAGTTGTTAGAAGGGGTATTTTGGTCATTATAAAGTTATTTATAACTTTACCCAAAAAGCCCCCCTAAACTAGTTGTTATATAGCTGTTGGGAGGCATTTGTATCATTTTTCTCCTCTCCATAAGAAAAATACATAAATACACCCCCTATATAGATGTTTATAGCTGTTACCCCCCCAAAAAAGTTGAAACTAGCCATTGGGGGGNGGGGGGGGGAACGGCTAGTTTCGGATGGGCCAAGTGAGGCCCACTACGGGCCCTACGGGTCATGGTGTGGGCTGGGTGCGGGCGGCACTGCACCAATAGTCGTGTCGTGCTGTTCCGGCTTGTGGACTATGAACCCTCGGCCCAGCACAACACGGACCATTGTGCCAGGCCTAGCACGGCCCGTGGGCTATCGTGTCAGGCCGGTCCAATTTCATGCCAGACTACGGGTGACCTGGCCCAATTTACACCTCTATCTATTTGCATTGCAACCAAACACTGCCTTTAGGTTTCTAGTGTTAGCCCGTTTGGTTGTTTTGTCATTTATATTTTGCAATGAGTAATTAGAATAGGCCCCAAGTTCAGAGTTATAGGTTGTCCATATATGTATTATTTATAATATATTAAAACTAATAACAGAATAATTCAAGTCGGATTTTTATCGGATCGAATGCATCTCCATCCAAAATTTATCTGATTTTTAATTGGATTCTTTCCATTCCATTAGAATCCGATTCAATAATGCATATAGTTCATCCGATTCCGAGATAATTGGATCAGATGTCGGACCATGGAGTTTCGGGTAATGTTAACATGCCTATTTATCAATAAAAGAAAATATCCTGTTTCTCCTAGTAAAAAAAAAACAACTAAAAAAAATAAAATTATAAAGATAAATGTAGAATATAAAATAAATATAGATAGATGTAGAACACAAAACAGATTACAATGTTGTAATTTTTGCCTCTTCATATGTTTATAAAATCTTTTTAAGTTATTTCTTGCCTTGTGTGTAAGGTGAATGGGTGGCCATCTTAGATTTTTACTGATATGAAACATGCATTCAGCTATTTAGATTGTATATTAGGGAATTTTACACCGAAATAAGCCAATTAGGTTAAAAACAAGGATGAAATTCTTAGGAAAATCATCCATCAATTTGACGGTTAGAGGTGATCCAATTAATCAAGTTGGATTTTGGTCCAATAGATGAGTTCGGATCTGCTCCTCACAGAGCACGCCTCACACTGATCTCACAACATGTTCAACTGTGCATCCGAAACATCTCCATACTTGAAAATATTTATTCATGGGAAGATGTTCTTAATGCATGACTGAAACGTGTTGTGAAACCAGTGTGAGGCGCACTCTGTGAAGAGCAGATCTTAACTCCCAATAGATCCCTACATTAGGTCTACAAATATACAACAATCATTTTAGAAATATTTTCTACTAGTGTATTATTATCATATAAGCCTAGTCCCAACTATATGAATGAGATACATGAATCCCACTTTACCATTTCAATTTGTTTAATACTATAGCCATTGTTAAATTATTGGCGTTTAAAAAATTTCTTACTACTTCAATCTTTCTTGATCTGCCCCTTGCGCTTAAATCGTTTTCCACTTGCCTAAAATAAATTAGGTGCACATCACCATCCATTTCATGGTACAAGCACTAAAAAAAGGCATAATACACCATATTGATTGCCTCAACCACAAGATTTTCCTTGGCTTAATAAACCTAATAGTATTTATAGAGATCTGTTTCATGGTGTCACTCTCAATATATACTACAAATTAAGCACTTTACATTGGTCTCGGGAAGAAATGTAATTTAAATAACCACTTTTCTCATTTAAAACTCTCTCATTAAGTATCATATATTCATATTTAAGGTATTAACTTCTATTAAATTCATTGAATCCTATTCTTGACTAGAATACTCATATCTTTGAATTTAGTCTCTCTAATTGTAAAAGCACAAAATGTAATTTGAACTACTAGATTTTTCCTCAGTCAATTCCTTCTCATTAAGTCTTATATTTATGGTATTAATTCTCAGTCTTTCATTGAATATTGTATTAATTGACCATATTAATAATATAGGTATCACAAAGAATAATTGTTTATATTGATAGTAGAAATAAAATACCGATTAAAAATCAACCCAAAAAATAGAATTCTTTTCCTGTGCATGTCCAGCCAATAATCCAACCTTTTTAGGTCAAATATATAAATCTTTATTATCATAATTAAATAATAATAAAAATTTATTTTTTCAAAGGGAGAGTAATAAACCCAACTTTAATTTCAACCATTAAAGAGTTAGCAATCTCAAGAGACAGAAATCACCTACTTTAGTTGTTATCAAAATACCCTTAAATTAGAATTTACACTAAATTATGCTGCAAACAAACAAAGCATGCCAAAGTACCCTATTTCTGATAATTTAATTATAGGTTAAAATACAAAAACCTCCCCTCAAGTTTCTGACAATCATAAAAATCTCCCCTACATTTTTACTTTAACAAAAACCTTTCTAAAATTTACAAAAAAAAAAAAAAAAACTCAACAAAAACCTCCGTACTGTCACTGATCCAAACGGAAAACGTTAAACCCATTAATCAAATGTTTTTAAATACCCATTTTACCCTTTTTAAATTAATTAATATGTTTCTTGTCTTTTGGCACAACTAGTGCTGGCCTCACTCAGCTTTTCTTGCTCCCTCTCACCATCCTCCAGCTTGGCCTTCACCGACTCTAAACATTTTCTGTTAGCTGGAACTACCTCCAGAACTTGTGAAGATGTGTAATTATAAGAGTTTTCTGTCACGAATTGTCGGAAGTGCCTCCAAAACTTGCGAAGATGTGCAATTGTAAGAGTTTTCGGTCACGAACTGTCGGAACTGCCTCCAGAATCTACACATGTGGCTTTAAAAAATTGACAGTAATAGCCAATTCCGGTGAAGTTTGATTAAGTAACTTTCCTAGAAAACTACAGGTT